AGGTGGGTGGAAAAGTGAAGGGAAATGTAATCGATAATAGTGTGATAACTTTGCATGGTGACAGATGGTTACTAGACTTAATGTGGTTGGTGATCACATTGTAAAATATATGAATGTCGAATCGCTATGTTGTACACCTGAAACTAATATAATATTGTATGCCAACTATACTTAAAATTTTAAATATCCTAATACTCATTTTTAGTAACATGAGAATTCTAGTTTTTAATTTGCCCATGGTAAAAGAGTATAAATTGAGACTAGCATGTGTTAAAAGTGGAAAGTATTGGTGAGGAAGAAGGAAAATTGCCACATTTTAGAAATGGTTTTATTAATTCATTTCCAGAAGCAAGTAATGAAAGACAAATTTTATATACCTTAAATTAAATTTTACTTTTTTAAACATATATTTTATTGATTTCAGAGAGAAATGGAGAGAGATAAAAAAAAATCCATGATGAGAGAGAATCATCAATCAACTGCCTCCTTCATGCCCCACATTGAGGATCGAGCCTGAAAACTGGGCATGTGCCATGACCGGGAATCGAACTGTGACCTCCTGGTTCATAGGTCAATGCTCAACCACTGAGCCACACCAGCTGGACGGGCTAAAATTTTACTTTTTAAATAAAAATTTAAATTATAAGCCCTTAAATTTTAAATGGAAATGAGGCAGGATAGTAAGAAGTTAGAAAAATTATTTGGCAAGCAGAATGGGGAAACTGAGACAGCTGATTCAAGCTGGCCTCGTCCAGCACCCTGACTCACCTGCCTCCTTCTCCCTTGCACATCCACTCCCTTAAGCATTAAGCCCTCAGGACAATGAGGTCCTGATCAGCATCAAATAATCTTAGGTAAAAGCATCTGGTCTGTTGACCACAGAGACAGGGTTATGGTCATACTAGAGATAACATCTAGGCCTCAGTTGTGTTTCAACTCCAGGCCCAGCAAAACAGCAAAAACAAATGAAGCAATGACATGGCTGACATCAGGACTAGATGCAATAACTAATGACTCCCTGCCATGGTGCCAACCAATCAGTAGATACCATAGCCCTGAAAGAACATACCTGGAAAGCTGGTGGATATTCTATTGAGATCCTCCCCTGAGACCTCCCCTAAAATTCCCACCTTTAGAAAACAGATAAAAACCCTTAAGACAGGACCCAGTGCATGTTCTCTCTCTAAAACACTCCTTCACTTTCTTCAGGGTTGTATCTTTCCTTTATTTCTCCTGAACTGTAAGGGTCCCCATGAGACTTAAAACCAGGGGAGCAGCAGGCAGTGGCAGCTTATCCCTGGCTAATCACCTGAACCTGTCTCCAAGGGCCCTCTTTTGCCTCTGTAACTTGTTTTCTGAGTCCATGTATCCCAACTGACTCACTTCTTCTACCTCTGTGACTTTTTTTCTAAAAGAACAAGACAATTCTCCGAGCAGCCCACTTGAATCTTCTCCTCAAGTGTACTTTCACTTTGTATACTAAACTAGAGGCCCGATGCACTAAATTTATGCATGGGGGGTCCCTCAGCCTGGCCTGCACCCTCTCCAATCCGGGACCCCTCAGAGGATGTCTGACTGCATGGGATCAGGCCTAAACCGGCAGTCGGACATCCCTCTTGCAAGCCAGGACCGCTGGCTCCTATCCACTCACCTGCCTGCCTGCCTGATCGCCGCTAACCACTCTACCTGCCTGCCTGATCACCCTCTAACTGGTCCCTTGCCAGCCTGGTCTCACCTGATCTCACCCCTAACTGCTTGCTCCTGGCGCCCCTAACTGCTTGGTCCCCCACAAAGGCCCCTACTGCTTGCTCCCCTGAGCCAGCCTGATCGTTCCTGATCTCGCCCCTGCTTGCTCCCAGGGCCCCTAACTGCTTGCTCCCCTGCTGGCCTGATCACCCCTAACCACCTCTGCCTCAGTCCTCACCACAGTGGCTTTGTGAGGGAGGAAGTCAGACGTCCAGAAGATGTCTGGTCATCCAGTCTAATTAGCATATCACCTTTTTATTAGTATAGATAAACTCTCTTGTGCTAGAATTTTTGGCTCAGAATTCTTTCTTTGCCAAACTCAAGAACCGAGAGCCAACATTGCCGATAACATAATGATTTAATAATTGTACGATTTACATTTTATAACAAAATTCATCACTATAAAAATGTGTTCATATTTCTGGATACACAGTTTTAGAGAACAGATAGTAATATTATGTTACAGATTAGAAATAAATATATCAATATATTTTTTGTTATTTAACTTCTATTTGGTTTCTCAGGCATTCACTAGGGGAAAAAAGAAGTTGAATATCACTGTTTGAGAGGTAAATCTTAGGATAGCAACTTGGTACCTTGTTTTTAAAAAGAACATCTTTTAGGAACATCTTGCTTCCTGGCATGCCATCAGTTTGGTTCAAATAAATGTAAATTCTTGGCCCCCTTCCTCCAAAATAAATACAAATAAAAAAATGTAAATTCTTATAAAAATTGCTTTAAAATAAAATAAAAAGGATATCTTTTTTGCTCTGAAGAATTTAAGTACTGACGAGCATTGAATTTGACTTTAAAATGTAGCAGATTATCCTTTTGTTTATAATTAAATGTGTTGCAAAGCTGTTTGGGTGAAACTTCATGCAAAATCTCCAAATCTAGCCATAGATATGATTCACTGTCTTCCTTTTTCAAAGCATTACAGTCAGAAGGTTCTTTCTAATGTATAATTTCCATTTCCTGTGAGGTTATAAAACAAGACTATTATTCTCATTTTATATATCAGGGAAACTAAAACTCAGAAAAATTAAATGGATTTGCCTAGGATTTGTTATAGCCAATAAGTTACTAGAATTCAGATCTTGATTTATTGTCTAATGTGTTTAGCCTGCTAGTGTTTATATTTTCAGTTATAATTTATGGTTCTCTCAGTTTAATTTCATATTTACCTTGAAAATTTAGTCATTTAATTGTAATTCTTTTTACTCATTGCCAACCATCTGATGGAGAACAAAATTAGTTTACTTTCCTCATGTTAATACAGTTTTGAGCCTCACAATTTCACAACTGTTGTTAGTTAATATATTTGGAAGAAAAATGACATGAATGATTCTAATAAAACTAATATAATTACTTAATGTTTTAATCATGAGGTGCTGAGTTCTGTGATCATGTATCTTTCTAACATCTGCTAATAGGTATATATTTTTAGTGTTGATTAAAAGACAAAAATGTAATTCATTGATTCCTCTAGTTTAATTTTTACTTAGAAGAATTGTAAAGGTTCATATTTTGATAGCAGACATGCTAATTGGGATTTTATTTTACAGCAGCTTCTTTTTCCTAACATTTTCATAAGTGTTACTTGCATAGCCAGGTGCTAGATTTTCCCCCCATAGATATTAGCCTGCCAGCTTTCTAAATCAAAGGGAATAATTTTTGATTCAGAAATATGATTTCACTGAAATCAAACCATATTTAGTATACTTTTGAATTGTATAACCCCAAGCAGAATTTTCAATATAAATCTAATTATGCTTCTCATGCCTTTGAACTGACTTTGTTATGGTTTACAAAGAAACACAAGCAGCCACTTCCAGGAATGGAGGTAGTGATTACAAATATTAAATTTGTATAATGACTTTCCAACTTTCAAAATTTACAGCAATCATGAGTCCATTTTATGCTGAATACTAAGACCAGTTCTTGAGTGTATTCACCTCATAGTCTTTTGTAAATGTAGCTTTTACTTACAAATAATGGAAATAATGGCAAGCGTTAAAATTCTGTTGCAAATTTGCCAGGAAGGAAAGGTTTGACAGTTGTCTTTTTTTAAAATACATTTTTATTGATTTCAGAGAGGAAGGAAGAGGGAGAAAGGGATAGAAACATCAATGATGAGAGAGAATCATAGATTGGCTGCCTCCTGCACACCCCACACTGGGGATCGAGCCCGCAAGCTGGGTATGTGCTCTGACAGGGAATCAAACCATGACCTCCTGGTTCATAGGTTGACACTCAACCACTGAGCCACGCCAGCTGGGGGACAGTTGTCTTTTGTAAAAGTCATCCAAGCCTGGCCAGTGCTGCTCAGTGGTTAGGTGTCGATCCCTGCACCAAGAGGTTGCTGGCTCAATCCCCAGTAAGGGGGCATGCAGTAGGCAGTTGATCAAGGTTTCTATCTCTCCCTCCCTTCCTCTTTCTCTAAAAATCAATACAAATATTTTAATAAATAAATAAAAGTAAAAGTAATCCAGGAATATTGCCAAAGTCTAATTTTAATTTCATTTCCTCTGGTAGTATATAGATTCATATTATTCTTCTAATCTTACTCAACTTCTGGTCAGAGTGACTGGAAACTATAAATAATATTGCCTTAATATTGAGAGTATTTGGTAAGATGACTGCTTGATGGTTATTCTTTACCACCAATTTTATTGTTGTCATTTTTTTGTTGGTAATATGAGAAGGTTGTTTTTAAACATCAGGATGAATTCTGTGAACATGAAATTATATATTTTTTCTTTCTAATGTCATCTAGGAATATGTAATATGTATTTATTGGGGAAAGTAAGGAGAGGGAGAGAGAAACATCAATGATAAGAGAGAATCATTGATCAGCTGGCTCCTGTACACCCCACACCGGGGATTGAGCCCGCAACCCAAGCATATGCCCTGACTGGGAATGAATATGACCTCCTGGTTCATAGGTTGAAGTTCAACCACTGAGCCATGCCACAAGGGAGGAAATATATTTCCTTAAAGTACTTGTAATAAGACAAACATTTTCTTTATGTTTAGAGATAAATAGTGGAAAGTTGCCCACAAACTGTTAAAGATTATGCTCTTGTTGTAGGTGGCCCCAGAAGAATTTAAGACCAGCATTGGCCGTGTGAATGGGTGTTTGAAAAAGGCTCTCCCAGTCAATGTGAAATGGCTGCTGTGTGGTTGTCTCTGCTGTTGTTGTACTCTGGGTTGCAGCCTGTGGCCTGTTATTTGTCTCAACAAAAGAGTGAGTAACCATTTTATTTTATAATAATGCTAAGAACTAATATTTTTAAACACTATGTGCCACGTATGTTGCATGGTTTATTTAATTCTCATAACAATGCTATCCTCATTCCAGAGATAAACTCAGGGACAGAGAGATTAAATCATTTGTCCAGCCTTTATCAATACTTTATCACTTAATATGAATTCCATCATTTGAAATAATGCAATGTTAATGGAGTACTTAAGTAAATATCAATGTAACTAGGCTACTTACTCTTTTTACAAAACTCAAAGCTGTGATTTAAAGTGTATGCAACCTACATCTATATGGGAGAGATTCTTCTGATTTGAAGAAAGGCAGAAGTGAGAACAAACTACAAAGTTTGTGGGGGGCCAGAATCCTGCTTAGTTTGAAACAGGTTGAAACAGCATTCTAACATGACATTACTAGTTATATCACAAATTTAAGTCTACTATCTTAATATCATCTTCTTTAACATTTTATTATAGTCTTTGAATGCTTCCCCCCCCCACCCTCCACCCCTCCCCTGCCACAGTAGGAAGATATCTTTAAACTTTTTAATTTATGCCAGTGAGGAAAATTAATTCATTTTACCTAAATTTCTTTTTCCTGTACCACATTGATGATTTTATTTAAACTTTTAAATAATATGTAACCTGCTGAACCACATCCAAAAATCACAGAATCTTGCGGGAATATAATTAGTGGTGCAGTTGTTTCATAAAAGGCCAACAAATTCTGAAGAAGTAATTGTCTATTCCTTTCCATCTTCCTCCTGCCCTCCTTAATGTTGTATTTATTTATTTATTTATTTATTCATTTATTTATTTATTTATTTATTTATTTATTTATTTATTTTAATCCTTACCTGAGGATATTTTTCCCATTGATTTTTAGGGAAAGTGGGAGGGAGGGTGAGAGGGAGGGAGAGAGAGAGAGAAACATTGATGTGAGACAGAGACACACATCGACTGGTTGCCTCCCACACACGTCCTGACTGGGCAGAGGATCCAACCTGCAACCTAGGTATTTGCCCTTGACTGGGAATCAAACTGGAGACCTTTTTGTGTGTGGGCCAATGTTCTAACTAGTGAGCAACACCAGCCAGGGCCTTAAAGTCTGCTTTTAAAAAAGCAATAAAATACTGCCATCCCTATGACTTTTTTAATGGAAACATTAAACATTTTATTGATTCTCTTGGTAATTATCAGTAGGTCAGAGCTTTATGTTTTTAATATATTTTTATTGATTTCAAAGAGGAAAGGAGAGAGAGATAGAAACATCAATGATGAGAGAGAATCATTGATCAGCTGCCTCCTGCACGCCCCACACTGGGGATTGAGCCCGCAATCCGGGCATTTGCCCTGACCGGGAATCGAACCATGACCTCCTGGTTCATAGGTCATTGCTCAACCACTGAGCCATGCCAGCTGAGCTAGAGCTTTACTTCAAATAGAGCTTTGGTTCGACAGTCTGTTCGAGGCAGCTCTGCCTCTGTATCTATTTTTGTTCAAAAGTCGAACTACAGCGGGAAGGCCGGGGAGGGTTGGGGGGCAGGAGGGGGGAGGGGAGGTAAGAGATCAACCGAAGGACTTGTATGCATGCATATAAGCATAACCAATGGACATAAGACACTGGGGGGTAGGGGAGGCCGGGGGATTGTCAAGGGCGGGGGAAAAAAAAAGGAGACATATGTAATACTCTTTGTAATACTTTAAGCAATAAAAAAAAAGAGAAAAAAATAGAGCTTTGTTTATTGTCAAAGCATGTACAGTATTTTCAAATGGCTTTCTATAAGTTAAAAAATGACAGCATACATTTATTTCCCAAATTGTCATATCTTCTAAAAGTTACAAATCAATAGCTCCTATCTATCCCCATTATTTTTAAAGCTTCAATGTGCATTTATTATATTTGTATTTTTCATCACACAAATATATTCAATTTCAATTACTTAAGAACAGATTTTTTTTGTTTAAATATTATCCACTATCTTTTTTTCTGGTGAACTGTTGACTCTTTGCCTGTATATTTATTTACACCTTCACCACGGGACCTGAAATAAAGAGAAGCAATTTCTTTAATTATGTGATTTTACTACGAGCACTTCTGATAATTATTTGATGGAAAATGAGATTGATATTGATGCTGTGATTTCTTCCTATTCCACATTACTTTGGTTCATAAAGAATTCACAATTTCAAAAAAAAAAGTTTATATTTGCAAACTGTCATCCTGTGGACCAAATTTAGCCAACTCTATTTTTTTAAACATTTGAATCAATTGCCTTGCCAGCATTTAAAAATTGGAATATTTAAAATAAAATTTGATGCCAAACCGGTTTGGCTCAGTGGATAGAGCGTCGGCCTGAGGACTGAAGGGTCCCGGGTTCGATTCCGGTCAAGGGCATGTACCTTGGTTGTGGGCACATCCCCAGTAGGAGGTGTGCAGGAGGCGGCTGGTCAATGTTTCTCTCTCATCGATGTTTCTAACTCTCTATCCCTCTCCCTTCCTCTCTGTAAAAAAATCAATAGAAAATATATTTTAAAAAAAATAAAATAAAATTTGAGACATCAAAGACAAACTATCTTGTAAAATCTAAAGATCTGACGGTATTGGAACCACATGACTGTATTTCAACAATTGACCCTAGATGAGTGGCAGCTGCTCCATTTTTTTTTTTCATTTTTAAAAAAATATATTTTTATTGATTTCAGAGTGGAAGGGAGAGGGAGAGAGAAACAGAAACATCAATGATGAGAGAGAATCATTGATTGGTTGCCTCCTGCACACCCCACAATGGGAATTCAGCCCCAAACCTGCCCTGACTGGAAATCGAACCGAAACATGAGCTCTTGGTTCATAGGTTGAAGCTCAATCACTGAGCCATGCCAGTCGGGAAACTGCTCCCTTTAAATAGGACATGTGATCTCTGGTTTACCACAGAACCATCCAGCATTTACATTATCTGCCTTACTCTGTATACCTTATAATTATAGTGCTTGATTTTGTATACTAGACAATAAAACATTTAGCACATGCTGATAACCTTTTGCAAGAGACACTGTCCGTTCTGGAGCCTCAGTTTCCAGAGGGATATAAAATCGGGATATTACTTACTTTTAAGATTGTTATGGTGATAAAGAGATTTAAGGTGCCTTACTGCTTTTTCATCCACATGGAGAAATACAAAATAAAATACAACAATTTAAGAATCTTTATGACTTCACTGTTGCTTCCTTATCTGTAAACTAAGTTGTAAAGACTACCGATATTCAACCAGTGTGCCACAAGAATTTTTAAAACATGCAAATACCTATGTAGTCAGGGGCACTGACCTCTTTCCCCTTAGATTGTCAAAAAAATAAATAAATAACAACAGCCAACACAACAATAGCCGTCCAATGTGAATGAATCAGAATTTTAGCTATTTTTTTTATCAGATCAGCAAAAATAAATATTTTTTGGTGTGCTACAGAATTTTAGTAATTAGTTTATGTGTACCATGAGATGAAAAGGAAGAGGGTTGAAAATTGCTGGTACAGACCATAATAGTTTAATTGGAAGATGATTAGTATTTGTATAGCCCAAATTCTTTAATTTCTCAGGTGTGGAAACTGAGATCCAGAGTGGTGAAGTGGCTTTCCAAGTGTCACACAGTAAATGGCACAACCAGGAAAATATTCCCTATTTCTTGCTTTGCTTTGTTTTTGCCTCTTATAATTCTGTATTCTCTTGACAACATCATGTTTCTTAGATCAAATTTCCTGTTCCTAAAACAAACATTAGGATAAGTGGTATAATAAATAGTCAACACACTTAGTTTTAATTCTTTACTGGGGGTGGGCAAACTTTTTCTTATGAGACCAAATAGTTAAAAAAAAAAAAAAAGGCCAAATAGTAAATACTTTTAGGCTTTGTGGGCCAGGGGTCTCTGTTGGAACTAGTCAACCATGCTATTTTAGTGTGAAAGCAGCACTTAACAATATGTAAATAAGTGAGCATTGCTATGTTCCAGTAAAACTTTAGTTACAAAAACAGGCAGCAAGCAGATAGTGGACTATAGTTTGCCATCCTGCTCTAGCCATCTCTAATGAGGTATCTAGATTTATGTAAGTTATGTCTGTTTCTCCACAAGATAAAATGGAAATATGATTATTCTGCCCTGGGTCACAAGGTTATTACTATGTGAACTAATGATTGTAAAATGTTTCTAAGAAAAGAACTTCTATATAAATTTAACAAAAACAACTGTTTTGTTATTTATTTATTTATTTTTATTTATTTATTTTAGCTAGTATAGTTCCTGGACATTTTTTCTAGCAACTTAGGTGGAAGAAAAGGAATACAGATCAAGGTGCCTTGAGCTCCTCCTAGTCTCTCTTGGCTCCGATCAGATTCTATGACTACATGATATATGAAATGAAGGTTTTGCCCAGCTGGTGTGGCTCAGTGTTTGAGCATCGACCTATGAATCAGGAGATCATGGTTCAATTCCCAGTCAGGGCACATGCCCAGGTTTCAGGGTCTCCAGTAGGGGGAGGCAGCCGATCAATTATTCTCTCTCATCATTGATGTTTCTATCTCTCTCTCCCTATCCATTCCTGTTCTTAAATTTACTACTGTGATATTATAGTCAAATTTCAGTCCTCATCATGCCACCATCCTTAAATTTGACATTACTTTTTTTTGTTTTTTGTTAATCCTCACCCAGGGGTGTTTTTTTCCACTGATTTTTAGAGAGAGTAGAAGGGGAGAGAGAGCGAGAAAGAGAGAAACATCGATGTGAGAGAGATACATAGATTCGTTGCCTCCCCCACCAGCCCTGACAGGCTGGGGATCAAACCTACAACCCAGGTATATGTCCTTGACTGGGAATCAAACCCAAGACCCTTTTGTGCTCAGGCTGACACTCTAACCACTGAGAAACACCGGCCAGGGCTGAAATTACTTTTTACCCATTTTGCTATAATATTTGCTTTCAGTCTCACAACATG